CGCGTTCGTCGTGTTGCTTTCATTTCCGTATTTCGTCGCCGTCGTGCAAAAAGTGACCAAGTGAAAAAATATGGCCAAATAGTTACCATAGTCCTCCTTCAACTATAGAAAAAACGACCAAGTGAAAATGTTAAATATATACCAAGTTATGGGCTGTTGTATTTTGACTAAGTGTTAAATTTTTTTTTTCTACGTGGAAAAATTGTCCAAGTGTATTTGATCAGTTTTTACATAACATTCAATATATGACCAAGTGCACTTGGACAGTTTTGATACAATACGATATTGACAAAAAATATGTCCAAATGGCCACACTGTAATTTTCTTTTATCAACTATAAAATAAAATATGATAATAGTATAACTACTGGCTATTTTTGGCCCGGGGTGCAAAATTAATTAGGGGCCCGTAATTTTTTTTCAAACCTACCTGAATTAGGAAAGAGTCCTTAGTTTTATAAGTAAATACAAAAAAAAATTAAGAATGACATGTTATTTATGTGTAGAGATGTTAAAATATGGTATTTTATTTTTGTTTTGTATAATACCGTATTATACCAGTATTATACCGTATAAAACCTTGCAGTACCTTAAATTATAGAAAATTTAACAAAGGTGAAAATGGATTAATTGAAAAAATGGCTAGAAGGTCAGAAAACATTTAAAAAACACATAATACAAGAATTATTTTAGACCTAATTCACCAAATTAATTATAATATAAAAAATTATAGTTTATATTTTAAATTTTTATAATTATACTGTATTTTATTGAAGATAAATTCTATAAGTACTACTAAAAAATTAATATTTGAGTTACTAAAACTATATGAATATTAAATGGCAATAAGCCAATAAATTGATTGCAGTATGCTTATTACTTCACTGTTTGCATATCAAAATGGATAATTTAAGACGGTTATCTACAGACTATATAGATTATAGATAATATATAATAGACACGAATGATACGATGACACGATGTAATATTATAAATATAATAAGAACGGATATTGTAGATTTCTATTTTAATTTATCTTTATATTCTACATTACGATAAGAGTAAAATTAAAAAGGGCCCGACTGTGGCAATCGGGGGCCCGTATCATAAATACGAATGGGGGCCCGGGGTGCTACTTGGTGTATAGCAGTCCGCCCCTGAATAAATATAATTCATTATTATTGCTTTTTCAATAATGTGGATTTTTTTTCAAAAACATTTATACCTAAGGTCAAAAAATTCAATACAAGTGTAAATGCTTATAAAAAAAAATACAGTAGGTGCTTTGTATAAAATATTCAAGCTTTTTTTCACCCAATAAATAAAGTTTTATTGACATTCATAGAAAAAAAAGAATAAAAATAATTGGAAACAGAAAATAATACTGTTGAAGAAGATCGAAGCAGTTTTACTGCCCCAAACCGTGAGGACAGACACAAAAAAAAATTTTTAAAAAAAACACACATCATTGTAAAATCAATAAATTCATTGCTCCACTCTTTTTCAAATATAATTTAAATTTAATATCATATTATTAGATACACTATAGATGGTCGTCGGGTGATTGACATCGGATATGTATTCAGAAAAATCGCTAATATAAGGCATAAACCATTTGATTGCACTTTTAGTGATTTGGTACTAACGGGTGAACGCAAAATTGGATGGTATAGTGAATTTCACTTTACTTGTAAAGTTTGTAGGATAAAAGAAACCGTAGAATCTGAAGATCCCCATAAATCATCGATGCAAGTAAATTTAGCGGCTGTAACAGGGGCTATAAATGCAGGTCAAGGTTACTCACAGCTTGACATTTTAACTGCTGTGTTAAATATGCCAAACATGAGCAACTGCCTTTATCAAAAGCTCCATGAAGAAGTTTATAATTATACTAATGCTACTGCATGGGAGTCAATGAGTTCTGCAGCAAAAGAAGAGGCTGAATTAGCCATAAAGGACGGTGATGTAAACGGCGATGGGGTGCCTCTTATATCGGTGATAGCGGATGGTGCCTGGTCAAAACGGAGCTATAGGAGTAATTACAACGCTCTTTCCGGCGTAGTAAGATAAAAACATATTTGTAAATATAATCGATGTGACGGTACTACGTAAATTATCCTTGTAGGGCTGTATTGTTGGTGCAAGGACAAAAAAAGTTATATACTTGGGAATCCGTAACAAATATTGTTCTGTTTGCGTAAAAGCAGAAGTGACATCCAAAGAACCGACCACACACATATGTTTTAGAAACTGGAAAGGAACATCAACGTCTATGGAGGCAGATATAATTCTGGAGGGCTTCAAGGAAAGTATATCTATGCACAACTTGATTTATAACAGGTGATAACAACAGTATAAAAACTGTAACTGAACAATTTTTCGATTTTTCATTTTACTAAATGTTGAGCCAGGCTACAATTAAAACCAGGAAAAATAAGGGTGTCATGTATGAAAAAATGCTAATATAACATGAAATAGTAAAACAAATTATTTCTAATAGACTTATTGGTGACGGAGACAGTTCTGTTACAAAAAAATTAAACGCGGCTAAACCCTATGGACCAACACAACAAATAAAAAAAATTGAGTGCAAAAACCACTTACTAAGGAACTACTTAAACCGTTTAAAAGAAATGACGACAAAACGAAAAAGTACGAGTGGTGTGGTTGTTCCTGGTTTTCTCAGAAAATTATTAAATGACAACAAACTAAGAATTAGGTAAATACGGGTTTAGAGTGTAGGTGGAAGCAGTAGTCTTGATAGTTAATTTTTTGTTTAGATATGGATTAACAAAAGCTATAGACCACTGGAAAGACTTGCCAAATCTAACCCAAAATCAAAAAATAAGATTTTTGAAACGTGACATAGACAATGGGCCTTTCCATGTTTTTGGTTGTCACACAAATTGTGATTCGTAAGTATGGATTGGAGCATTAATTATGATTTGTATTTTCATGTTATTACTTTTTAGATATTTTTGTAAAGCTGATTCCACTTCTAAAAATAATGTGCCTGAAATGGAAGCATGTGGTTTGTGGCAAGACATAATTGCTGCAAAAAATATAGTAGCTTTTCACGCAGACAGCCTTATTCATAATTTGAATAATAATTTTGTGGAGTCTTACAACAGTGTAGTAGCAAAATTTGTAGGGGGGAAAAGAGTGAACTATTCCCTACGAGGTAAATAAAATATGATTTAAAAATTAAACGTTGATAATTTTAATATATTTATGCAGCATGTATTTACATAATAAGCGTTTTTTTAGGTTCGTATAACACTCGGTGTATGACAGCAGTATCATCGTTTAACTTTGGCCCGGAGTACATGCGAAGGTTGTTTAAACAGGCAACTAAAGAAAGTCCGGGAAAGTTTACCAAACGGTTCATTTGCAAACTATCAAAAAAAAAGGCCTACGCAAGGAGTAATCCAAAAATCAGACTCAACTTTGAGCAAAAACAGTATATTATTACAATATAAAATAATAATAATAATTACGATTTATAAATTTATACATAATATATTATTATTTTAATTAATAAATACTATATTTTTAATTCTTATTTTAAGAATATTCTAAGTCATTTGTATTACTTTTTTGTATTACTTGGTTTAGGTTAAAGAGCAAAAAATTTGAGGGCCCCGATACTGATTACGGCGATTTGTGTAATGAGCTGGGTTGTGAAGAGCTTTCGCTTTCAGCCGAGGAAGTGGAAGAGAAGAAATCAGATTTCCATATTATCCAGATTTCCATTATGAGCCCATGGCCAAAAAAGATTTTGAGCTGAAGTTGGGGTTAGAAGTATTGCCAGCGGGTCTATTTATAGATGAGATAATTAATTTTTTGGCTTGTTCTCCTGATGGGTTGATAGGACATAAGGACTTATTGGAAGTTAAGTGTCCTTATAGCGCTAAAGACATGACAGTCATCGAAGGTGTTGAACAAAAAAAAATCAAATTTTTGTCGGTCAACAACTCAGGCGAGTTGCAATTGAAAAAAACTGATATATATTACTATCAAGTGCAGGGTCAATTGCACGTGGCTAATAAACAAACCTGTTATTTTGTAGTTTGGACACCAAAAGGTAAGTATAATAATAACATCCAAACCTAATAAAGTTTTTACGTAAAATAATATGTTATATTTTTATTTAGATATTTTTATAGAAAAAATTGAGCGAGATGACGACTTTTGGAAAACTAAAATGGAAAGTCAGTTGATAAAATTTTATAAAAACTAATTACTGGCTGAAATAGTACAGCCAAAAATAATAGTATAACATGTATATGAATGTATATGAATGTAAATAAATATATTGTAAGATGAATTATATTACCTGTGTTTTACTCGTTATTAATAATTTATATTTTTCGTTCTTGGGATCATGTTTTCTTTTTTTATATGTACGTACAAGTGTACAACGTACATTATATTTGTAGGTATTCTAACTAATTAGAAATGTAAATAAGCTGTTGGTATAAATATTACGAACGGAAACGAGTGTCGTACAATATTAAGGCGCGTGCACACTAGCGTAACAAAACGGCGAACTTGTAACACGTAACAGTGTTCGTGTGTCATATACGTGTAACAAATCTTCGAACTTGTATCATACTTCTGTAACAAACCGCCGATCCGCCGATTGTCGGTATTTTGGCGAAACATCAAAGGATGATACGCGTTCATGTTACACCGTGTATGGACGAGATGACGAACATAATCGTGTAACATCATACGAATACTTATATAGAAAACTTATTTTCTATCAACAATTCATAAAGGATGCCTATGGCTATCGATTATCGAAATAACTATTTATAACTGGACTTGTCGTATCCGTATACTATTATTGTTATAGTGGATATTAATATACTACCTAACCTAATTATACCGTATATTTTATTTTACCATTTTATCCTAGCCTAGTATTAAACAAAATATACATTTAGTTGCCGATTAACCTCGGAGCAAACACTATAGTCGTTTATAAAATTTGTAACGATGGCGGATTGGACAAATGAAAATGTATTAAAACTTATTGAAATTTATCGTAGTAAGGAAATTATATGGAACCCTACAAACAAAAATCATTTTAATAAGATTTTAAAAAATGATGCATGGAATGAAATCGCAAGTGAATTGTCCGACCATATATCAACTGCAATCACATTGAATGATTGTAGAAATAAAATGGTGTCAATACACGCTGCATATCGGAGAGAAAATATGAAAATACGGAAAAGTGTAGGAACCGGCTCAGGTAAGTCAATATTACCTAAAGTAAATTATTTAATGGTTAAACATTAAATTTGTTAACTCAGGTACTGAAGACGTATATAAGTCATCTTGGTTCGCATTTGAAAGCCTCGAGTTTTTAAAGAACAAAGATAATCCTCGTAAAAGAAGATGCACGGTAAATATAGAAATTATTATACAAATATAAATAATTTAAAAAATATTGGAAATTTTTTATTTTATTTATTTTCAAATATTTAAAAAAAAAAATAGTTAAATATAAAACCGAAATGATAAAAATAACTAATAATTAATTTTTTTTGTAATATTTATAATACTTTTTTTAGATTATGCATATTCTTCTTGCCAAATAACATTTCCTTCATTAATACAGTATTGCATTACTTCTTCTCGTATTTGCATCGAATTTGTTGTAGATTTACGTGGTACCCTCCTTATTGGTCTGAGGGATGATATTTCTTCATTATTGGTATCCCGCCATGTTCCTTCAATAAAGTTTCCATTTACTTCAGAATCGAATATTCCATTTGGTGTATAAATTGCTGCCGAGTTATTATTTCTTCTTAAAAAATTATGAAGGTGTGTAATGGTCATAACAATTAGTTCTGATTTTTCTGGGTTCAATAACAGTGGCTTTCGGAGAACTCTAAATACAGATGACATAATACCGAAAACATTTTCCACCACACGACGGGCTCGGGAAAGTCTATAGTTAAATATTCGTTCTGGTGTGCCTTTAGAAAATAAGCCAGGAAAAGGTTTCATTATGTTGTCTGTTAAGGGAAATGCTCCATCTCCAATAAAAAAATATGGTATTTCTTTACGCCTACCCGGTAGTGGTGCTAACATTGGTAAACCTAGTGAATTAGATTTTAATTTTTTATTAAGTTGACAATCCTGAAATACACCTCCGTCCGAAATTCTTCCTTGGCAACCTGCATCGACGAATATGAAATTATAGTTCGCGTCGACAACAGCAAATAAAACAATACTGAATGTTGATTTATAGTTAAAATATTCACTTCCGGTATTGATAGGAGCTTGGATTACCACGTGTTTTCCATCCATAGAACCCAGTGTGTGGGGAAAGTTCCACTTAGTTTCAAAGTCATTTGCAATTCCCAACCATTTTTCTGGTGTATTAGGTACCTGAAGTAACATACAAAATAATTAATAATCCCATTATAATGCAATAATAAAATTATAAAAATAAATATTTCAACAATTGTATTTAACAGTAATTTGTATTACTAGCTTAAAATAATTTGCAAATTTTTGAAAACATAAATACAATTTGATTACAAAAAAATATAAAATAATTATTATTAATTATATATAAGTAGCTAACAATTTATTTTAGATGTCCGATGATAATGCTCCATGCGAAAGTGAGCAAATGCATACTGAGGAACCACAGATTATCTCAAAAAATCAAAATGCATCATCAACACTGACATCGAAAAAAAAGAAAATTATCGACGAAGATAGTAGTAGATTAGACAAAGCGTTTAAAATGCTAGAATCGGCGGCATCGGCCTCAGCTACAGGAACTAATGAAAGTCAATCATTTGGACAGTTTGTTGGAAAGAAATTAGAAACTTACAACCAACAAGTGAGAAGTATTGTTCAATATGAAATGTCAAACATTTTATTTAAAGCAGATTATGGATATTTTAATCAACAACAACCAACATATCAAAATAACCACTACAATTATTCTGATCCATCAACTTATAATTATAATTATAATCCACAAAATTATCCGACAAACATACATTCTTCTTCACTGCCACATCCATTTCTACCTCGTGATACTAATATAACATCTCACTCAGTACCACAGACATCACCAGCAACATTTACACAAACATCTACACCAATTCCATCACCCGTAAATACTTTTACTTCTGAAGAATTGGATTTCAGTGATATTATTAATTAATTATTATTTAATTTTATGAAAAAGAAAACAGTTAATTATTTTATTTTTATTTTAAAAATAAGTTTAATTTTTTAATTTTAAATAATTTGCATTGTTTATTAAGGATGATTTTTTTTTACTTATTTACTTAATTTTTTATTTAGCATGTAGTTATACTTTTAACAAATGTATTGTAATCTTAATATTACATTTTCTATATCATGTAATTATTATTTACTTTTGTAAAAAAAACAGTTAATTTTTTTTTTTACTTTTAACAAGAAGTTTTATTTTATTTTTTAACATTCAAATTTTCAATATTATTTTGTTGATTTAATTTGTCTTAAGATATTTTTTTTTTTGTTTATTTTTTTTATTTTTTTATGTAGCTATATTTTACATAAATTTATTGTAATTTTAATATAAACTTCTTACCTGAATGTTATCTTTTAAAACATCAATAATTGCTTCACACACTTCAGGCACTATGTTGCTTATAACTTGTTTTGACATTCGAAACAAATATTGTAAACTTGTGAATGATTCGCCAGTTACTAGAAATCATAGAGTTACTGCTAGCCTTTCCTGCACTGATATCGGTTTTCTTAAAATTGTTTCACTTTTAACAATTTTAGGCCCAATCAAATTTATAAGAAAATCAAAATCTGTTGATGTCATTCTCATAAAATTTTGAAATTGTCCATTTATTTCTTGTGTCCTTAAATCTTGTAATAAAGTGTTTCCTCCTGTCTCTTCACGTCGAGTATATAAATGCGTTGTCCACCATCGTCTTCGTCTTTTACTGTTTTTCTTCAGAGCGAGATGAATATAAATGTATGCAGCAGCAGCTATTTGGAGCGACATCATATATGTCTATACTCGGACACTGTGTAAGTAACACTGACGTTTTTGATGGAACAATTTAAATGTTACATGTTACAGCCTTGTTACAGGTACATGTTTCAAGTTAAATTTTTGTTGTAACATTTTAACAATCTGTTACGTGTTACAATTTCGCCGTTTTGTTACGCTAGTGTGTACGCGCCTTTAGGTATTTAATATTATATTATTATTATATTATTAGTTATTTGTATTGGACATTATAGTAGATTAGTAGATAAGATAACGTATTTGTAGACCGCTAGAACGGCATAGTGCCCAGTATCAATGAGTGGTGGTCTGCGGGTCGCGGGAGATATATACGCACGCGCATGCACATGTCAACGTGATCGCCAGATAGAAAAATTACTAGCGTGATTTTTTGCTCAAAACACACTTAACAGGAAAAACTCTCACACCTCGTAGATTGGTCCGATTTTCGTAATTTTTTTTTTGTTAGATAGAGGAATATTTTTTACAGGGCGCATTGGACTTCGATTTTTGATTACGTTGCTAAAAACAAAAAATAATACAAAAACTAAAAAGTTGTAAAAATGGATTAAATTCAAACTTGTAACATAAGACTTAGAAAAATAATTTTGAAAATCCAAGTCCAATGCGCCCTGTAAGAAGTCTTTCTCTATCTAACAAAAAAAAAATTACGGAAATCGGACCAATCTACGAGGCGTGAGAGTTTTTCCTGTAAGGCATGTTTTTGAGCAAAAAAACAGGTCGCGTGGAGGCCCCTTAACGTGTAGGACTAGATTTTTGATATTTTAATATATTATACCAATTATTCACAAGTCAAAAAAGTGAAACCAAAAAATAAAAATACAAAACTATTTTATGGATCTTGAAAATGAATTATCGAAAATCGAGGCCTCTAATTTTATATAAAACATCCATAACAACCTCTTCAAAAACATATAAACATAATATGTATATAATATACATAATTTATTGTATTAAAAATATAAGAATTTATACAAATTAAAACTTATCTCATAAAATAATTAGTCCATTAGATACATATGCAACACAACTATACGAATTCGTAATTACATTAAAAGTAACAAAAAAATTGAATTTATAAAGGTGATTTATTTCAATACCATTATATACATTCGATTATTTGAATTATTTTATTATTAATAGGTAGGTATGTTATAAAATAAAATATATTTATACAATATATAGGTAAGCGTAGAAAAAAAGTAAGATAAAAAAAATACATACATATTGACTTCCGAAAAAATTATATAAATGTTGTGAGCAGTATTTGACAATTATATAATATATAATATTATAATATAATAATACATTATATTAGGTATATAAATACGTACTAAGAACTTTCAATAAATTAATTTTTAGAACTTACAGGATTATAACTTAAATTAATGTTTTCTATGGCTGATTTTTTTTGCTTTCCTATTTAAATAAAATTTTGCTATAAAATATATGAAAAATACTATTATTACGAGAACTAAATATTTGTTCGTGTATATAAATTCATACGTTTTATTTACAGTAAGTGAATTTAGTAACATATCTTGTTGGTCTAATTGGATATTTATTTTATTGAACGCTTCTTTATTAAATTTAATATTTTTTATTTCATCGAAGTGAATAGGTTTGGGATAGGGCTGATTTGAAAAGTTGAAAACATTACAGCATGAATCATTCATAAGAGATAAGTCTACTGGAACTGAGAAATATGTTTGGTTTAATTTTTGCTCAGTTTGTAGTACACCTTTCGAGGTGTAAGCAATACACCCAGACTTCAAGTATAACTTACCAGAACTTTTAACTTTAATTTTTTGCGTGAAAGACTGTTTATTACAAATTATAGTTATTGTAGTGGGTTTATCACATACAAAAAACCAATGATTTTTGAAAAATGAGGGATACCACATTTCTGTTTTGAATTCAGAGATAAAAGTATCACATTGAGGTGGTTTAGTTACGGTAGTTTTTTTAGTAATTCTGTTACACACGTGGGGTCCGTGTCACAATTATGTATAATTTCATTAAATCCACAAACAAATATTTTCGCCACTACTTTACAGTTATTTAAATCTGGCCAAATAAAATATTTGGTCATTATTTTGTCCATTAACAAATACATAGAATTTTTAGTCATATGGAGAAATTGACCATGTTCATTAATTGAAATGTAAATCGGTAATATGTAATAAACGTTAAAATTTTCTATAAGGCACAGTGGAAATTTTAAAGAAAAAATAAATCTGTCATTTACTGTGTGCATTTCAATACTTAATATTTTGAATATTTCTTGAATATTATCCTCATCAAATTTAACAGGGATTTTCAAATCGTCCGGGAGAATAGTCTCTATATTTTTTATTTCCGATAGCAATTGGTCGGGTGTTATTATAAACGCATCTACTATATTATTCTGAACGTTAGAAATTACTCTTTGCAACCTACTTATAAATATGTCCAATTCAAATATAGTGTGTTCTATAAGACTTATCGAACTCAGAATAATAATTTTTCTGTCTTCGTTAGATATCTCAATAATCATTTCGTTCAATTTGGTCTCGCCTTCTTTCATATTTGCATCAAATAATTTCTTATTTTCATTAAATGATGTAACCGAATCGTTGAAATTAATTATTGTGCTTTTTAATATAGATATCTGATCATGAACAATACGCATAACATCTTTCTGATCGTTTTCTAATTTATTGATCGAACTATCATATTTTCGTACATCGTCAGCATCAGCTATTCCATACATCCATTTTAATACCGTACCCCCAAACTCAATAGATCGCTTCACCTTTTTGTTCTGTCTACCCATTTGTACAATTAAACCTATCTCGTTTTACAATTTATTCGCATGTTTTTTTAACTGATACAAAGTTATAGAAATTTCTTTGAACGCAATAAGTTCAATTGATTTTAACATTTGCCTAATATTTCTAAGACTGCTATTTAAAAATGTTAAATCCATATATGTATTTATTGTCCAACTACTTCCGCAAGCTCTACCATTACATATGAGTTCGTACTGCAAACCCGGGCTATCACTGGTTGATGTCAATTCAAACAAGCCTTCTTCATCATTACCAAACGTAGTGGTCGTCATTTGTATGGAAAATAATAACAGCAGTATTTGATGAATGATCTTCTCAACGTCCATATTAACTTCTTTTTACCTTCAGTGTCCAATAATTATAGTTAACGTACTATGACCACTATATATCTACAACAATAAGATAAAGTAAATTTAGATAATGTGCTAGGTATTAGTATGAAAAAATAATGATAATGAAACAATACCAATAATACTAAGGTCATGATTGAATTTTTTTAAACATGCAATTTCATTGAATAATATAAAAAATGTTGCATTTTTCTTTTATAGTTTTAGTATATTTGTCTTTGTTTGTTTAACTTGTCAAAAATAAAATTTATTTATAAAAAACACCCCTAAGGAAATTACAAATGATTTGACTTATTTTCAAACATATTATAGTTATTCAAATATAGCTTTTTAGTTATTTTATCTTAGTTAACATTTGGACATAATATGGTTGGTATTTTGGTAATTAAAACATTTACGTATTAAAAAACAATAATTAGCATTGTATTTTAAGTTCACGATTGTAAAACTTCTTTTATTTTAAATAAATAGAAAATTACTAAAGAAATATAGAACTATATCTAAAGAATTCGAATATATTAATATTTTGTATTAGCTTTATGTTTGAAAATTATTCAATACATTTATTTTTATTCGAATAATTATCTAGATAATATTTTGCTCAACTCTGATTGAAGTACTAAAAGTATATTAAAAATTGAATTAAAAAAAACTTTGTAAATTAAATCAATTGTCTTACCTGTTTCAATGTTTGAATTTCGTTTGACGAAAGTCAAACGTCTAATACCGAAGTCCGTGGATCTTTTGACTTAACGTAGTAGAATGGCGTTTTATGTTTATCAAAAAAAAAAAAACTTCAAAAACTATTCAAAAAAACACGGAAATTAAAATATTGTCGAAACACTGTATATAACAAAATCGTTTCTTCTATCTCGAAGGCTTGCATTTGATGGTGTACTCTGAATTACTGGTCAGTAAAATGTATTCGATAACGCGCGGAATATTGAATATTGGTTGTTACAATGATATTATTATTATTGTTATAAACCCATTTCATTTAGTGATATAAGAATATAAGTATTTGTAACATAAGCATTTCTTTGACATATATATATGTAACCATGTTAATAATGATTATTATAGCGATATTATGGATGTAACATAATTTTATCTAATAATATAATTACTTATATTCCGACTGCTTATCCAGCAATTCCTACCCTGGTCGTTGCACAGAGGGCTCCTTGGTCACGGCCGCCCAGTCAGTCGTAGAGTTAAACGCATTCAGGCAGAACCTCATTTGTTATGCAGAAAATCTATGTAATAAGTCTAGAGTAATTAAGCATTTAAGATATAGTACATTGTAATTTTCGTAATAATAAACACTTCTTTTAGTAATTTAATAAGCGCCTTTGCGTATATTCTTTCAAAATACGTCCTTGCTCTCTTCACTAAGAATAACAACGTGCCGGTTCACATCAATATCTAAATATATTAATTTTACTCTTTTAGTTTAGAAGTAGTTAAAGTGAGTGTGCTTGTGTTTCATTCCATTTAAAAAAAAATCGTTGTTTCTTAATTGTATGAAAATGGCTTTGCAGAATATTTTTTTGTTATCGAACCGCTCAACTTTAAACTTAAAAGAAGCCATTGAATTACTTAAAAAACCAAATTTAAACAGTGATGACGTAGTACAGTGTTATAACTTGGAACCAAAACCAGGTTTGTGGTATATGTGTGCGTATAATCAAAGTTTTGCTGATAGCATTGAATGGCAATCAACAGGCACTCGTTCATTGCCTGATGAAAAAAATCCCACAGTATTGGCCGAATACTTTTCATCCGAAAAAGTGAACAAAAGTGTATTTAGATTAATTTAAAAAAACCAATATGATGCTGTCTTGGTTAACTATTCAGATATAAAACCTACTGTTGAGAAATTAAAAAGAACACATGTTTCTCAAAAAAAATCCATCAAAAATATTATGAAAAACCGTTTCAAACTAATTAAAAAAGATAGTAACTCTGTTTCTATTGTTCCTAATGAACTAATTGAACATGAATCTTTAGAAAAACATGTCAGGTAGGTGCAATAAACGTTATGAATTGTTTTTATTATAATTGTGTTGTGCCTAAATTTATATTTTTTTTCAAGCAACAATTTTGAACCATATTTAGGAGATGATGGTTCCCTTCCAGGAGGTTCTGCCTGCTTTGTGAAGTCTATAGCCCAAATAGTACAATCTGATCAGAGTTCTCCTGCTTTATCACAGTTCAAGTAAGTACGTCTTTCTGATTTTACGTACTTCTCAGTTCTCATATTAACACATTTACATATTATAACGGTTGAATTTAAAGTCTTTAAACGCCACAATTCGACATACATTACGTTAAAGTTTATACAAAATAAAGAGACATTTTTTAAACTTATTTAAAACTAATCTATGTATATACTAACTTAATTTTAATAAACAACAATAAATCATAAAAAACTGTTTCAAAAATAAAATCAAGGAAGAAATTAAAAACAATTTATACACCATGAAAGGGTCAAGTGGTATTTAGTATTATTTACTATTTTAATATTTTGTACATGGAATACCAGCTTTATTTATATAAGATTCATAGGGGCCTAAAAAAAATTTGCTGACTTTTTGGAGGTCCCCCACAAGTTTGACCGCCACCTTCTTTTTTCGTATACTACATATTTTCATGTATCTTCAAATACTCATATATCAATCATATTATATATCATATCATATCAATTATAATATATTCAATCAATTAATAATTATTATTGGCAAATTATATTAATTTTTTCGCTCAAAGAATACAACTAATGTGTCTGATTATTAGAAAAATGTCTTGTCACAAATGTTTTAAATTCTGAACGGAATGATGAATGTATTGGTTTTACAATGTGTGTTTTAGATTCTGAACAAAAAGATTAATGTATTGATTTTACAAGGATGTGTGCTTTTATTTTTTTTTGTCTGGGGACAAAATTTGCTTCAATCTTAAAAATCAAGGGTGATTTTAGGTAGCAAAGTGAATGTACTTTGAGGGGTCATAAGTAAAACATTTCAGTAATATAGAAAGTTTTACATAAGTTTATCAATGAGTGATATAAAAATTATCAAAATACATATGCATAATTGTTTTTCATAAGCGTTTGAATTTATAAAATATTGACAAAATTCGTCAAAATCACGAATATTTGCAAACTATTTTGAAGTTCAAAATGTATAAATTTATTTGTATTCATAGCTAAGAATTGAAAATTTAATACAAGGTTATCCATAGGTTTTGATTACAATAATTATAAAAAAAATCGAATGAAAGTCAATTTAACAATTTTTACGGGAGTCTAAAATTAAAATTTTTTTTGTCTGTGAAATATCAAAAAAAAAACTTTCAAATTTTCTTTTTGTTTTCTTTTTATAATTATTAGAATATTAAGAATGTAGGATAACACAAATTTTGTAATGTTATTATGATAGATGACACCTAAATTATTACATTTTTTCTATCAAATAAGGAACACTCTTCTGTATATATTATTTTTTAATTTCAAAAAATGTTTACATATGCCCACGGGCGTCAGAAAGGTAGGTAATATAGTAATTTTTATTTTACATATTAAATGTTAAAGAATCAATTTTATTTATTTTCTTATATCAATTCTAGCAGCTTGAACCTTGATGTAACGTCAAGTAGCATTAATTCATTTGCTCCTATCTCTAACAGTACACCTGCAATGGCTGAAAATCCTTTTATCACTGTAAAAAAAAATCTATTTGGAATTTCCGAACACAGTATAACAGATATTATGAATCAAAGTTAGTGCGAAGAACTGCATTGATCAACTTCAACTACAACTTCAACTACTAATGAAGAATCTATAAATGCTGAGAAAAAAATTGTTTTTACATATTATTACCTATTAGAAAACAGTGTGTTGGCCGATTTAAGGAAGACTATTTTAAATTAAAAATGAAATTACCTTATCCCACCATCCCAGCTAAGAATTGAAAATTTAATACAGCGTATCTTATAAGTTGTTATTATTGTAGTAAAAATAAATCAAAAATCGTTTTACAACTTTTTTTTTNCCGAAGCCGGCAGTGAGTCCAACGTAAAGCCGCGTATACATGTGCGAGCCGAACCTATCGCGAACCAATAGCGACAATTATTTGGACGGCATGTTGAACGTCTATAGAACCGCTCGCAAACCGTTCGCGCCGATCCATCGATAGTCGGTTTTTTTCACGAACACAACGCGAGCCCAGTGTAAGTTTGTACGGCGCGTAGACAGGTTCGTCAGTTTTTACGAATATCATTATTTTTATCATGGAGTGGTCAGAGGAAGAAACTATTCAGCTTATTGATATTTACAAAAGTAAACCTTTATTGTGGAATCCTAAACACGAGGATCATTTTAAAAAGCATTTAAAAGAGGATGCATGGAGGGAAATCGCAGCTGCTATGGCGGAGAGGTCTATCGATGACTGCAAAAAGAAGGTTGTTTGCTTATTGGCTTCCTTCCGGAGGGAGAAAGCAAAAATAAAAAAGAGCCAAAGCACAGGAAAAGGTAAGTCCATATTGTTATTATATTATACAAATGTTTATACATGTTTTGAGTTAAATTCGTAATGCGCTGTTTTTATTTCAATTTGAAAAGTGTTGTTTGAATTTATTAATAGCATACTGCACACGTCATTACCAATGATAATATTGTAATTATATAAACTATTTATGTTGAATACTTATTTTTAGCGTAACAAAAAACCCTAAGCCGGGCCTGGCCCAGGTCCTGGGCATCGTGTTTGGAAAAGTAGTAAAATTGGTTTTAAAAATTGTTTTATTTTCGTAGCATTTAAATATTGTATATGTTTTATATAATTAGTAAATATCAAAATAACAAAATAGGTTCAACGGAAAAACATTGATAATAATAAATAATATTTATGGAGCAAATAGTAAAGTAAACCGATTTTATTAGTAATAGTATTTAGTGTGTGTTCGTTTGCTGTTGACATCGGGTCTCGTAATAATACAATAATATTACAATGAGTTGTCGATTACGTGATAAATATCAAAAAATTTAAAGTGTTGGTGTAAAACATAAATCTCAAGGACGGCCCTGCCAGCAGTAATTTGTCAGATTTGACTAGCATTAGTATGAATATGAAATAAAAAATGTGTTTATTAATACGTTAATCGTTAATGTATTCTTTCTGTTCTGACATTATTACATTGCAATTATATACGAGTACCTCTATTAATTTTAACAAAAATTCAATTTTTACAGTATATATTACATTTTTTCATTGGCGCAATTTGGGGGGTGCTTGGGGGTGCTTAGCACCCCCAAAATTTATTTGTTATTACTTATTATATTATGTCATAGCCCATAGGCATTAGAATAAATTTATTTCTAAGACTTTTCACTTTCATAATAATAATAATATAAATATTATATAATAATACCTATCTTATATAATATTATGGGTAATTTATTGTTTAAATTGATTAATATATTACTATGTATTAAAAACACAAGAAGATTTTATACTTCATAGAACGATAGTCGATAACGATTACGCCGAAACGTCTATCGATATCGAATATTCGAGTATCCCGTTAGCTTATCAATTTCTTTCACGAATCTGGTAAATACAAAAATCGTCTAAAAATAGAACGCGCTTAATCAATTTATTGTCGATCCGAACTCCGAGGTGACCATTTCGATTGCATTTTTCTGTGAAAACACACACGTTCCACCATCAGTCCACACTCAAGTGTCTGAATCGTGAATCCTATGCGTCGTACGTGGTACGTGTAAGGTGTAAGTTAGGCGTTTACTGTTTACCCTTGCTAAGAAAATTGAATAATATTATTATTACTCAAGTTGTTAATGTTGTTATTGCTTTAAAGTTTATAATGGAAAATACTAAAAAGATTTTTAATATTTTCAATTTTGAAAAAAAGTCAAAAAATGATAAACACCAAGAAGTAAGTTTTGATATTTATTAAATACAGAAAAAAACATTCTTTATAATCATCTTAATGATAATTTTAATTATTGTTATATTTTTAAATTTTTTTAGATGAATTCTGAGGTTGTTGATGACCCGGACATTGAAATTGTAGAAAAAGATGACGTTATAGTTAATCAAACTGATACTGATTTTGTTGAAACATTACCTTTTCAACACAACGAAAATAATCTCCAACATTCCGATTTGGGAAATCTCGCTACTGGACCATGCCGTCCTGTTTTAAATGTAAGTTAATAATTAGTAAAATTAATAACAATAATATTGACATTATTAAATAATTGTCAGCAATTTATATTATATTTATTATTTATCGTAGCTAGTAGGTATTAATATTATTCATTTAATAATTTAATACCTACCTATTTAAAAATTAAAATACTTTTATTTGTATATATTCAATATTGTAGTATAATAATAAATTACATAATAATAAATTACACTATCATGTAGATTTATAAACAAACTAGATTTGGTTCGCAAAACAGATCATTTGGTAGCCAATGGTATAAACAATATACTTGGTTGGAGTATAGTATGAAAAGCAACGCAGCATTTTGCTATGCATGTAGAATGTTTGCTGATGAACTTATTGATGATGTTTGGACAAAAAAAGGATTTTCAAACTGGCAAAAAGTATGTTTATATTTTGACTATTTTGGTTTCTGAACAATATTACTAAAAAAAATAAAAATAAATCAAACCTTAGAGTATAGGTATATATTATACCTTTATAATTCATAAAATATGTACTTAATTTTTTGTCTATTTAGCTTAATGAAAAACTGAAAAAACATGACAAAACAAAGCGACATTTAGTTTGTGTATCTAAGATGTCTGGGTACTTGGCTTGTAAGAAATCTGGTTCTGTTATGGTAAAGCAGTGTAGTGGCTATAAAGAACAAGTGGCCAAAAACCGTACCTATATTGGTACGCTTATTGACATCATATTATTTTTGGGGAAACAAGGTATTGCCTATCGAGGCCACAGAGAAGATGCAAATTCTCTAAACCAAGGTACTCTTAAGTTAATTTTAAACTGCATTTATATTTAATAACATTATGTAATATTTTAATTATTTTTATAAATAATAAGTTTATTTTTTCAAGAGTATATCTATATACATTAACATTTTCAGGTAATTTTAAGGAATTATGTAAATTATTATCAAATTATCAGCCGGATTTCAAAATCAAATTTGATGAAACAACAAATTAAACTAGCTGGTCTATTCAAGATCAATTAATTCAATTGTGTGCAGAGAATATCAGAAAAACTATTGTAAAAGAAATTGAAAAGATTGGTTTTTTTGCTTTAATGTGCGATGAAGCTAGGTTTGTTTTATGCATTTTTCTTATAAAACTCTTATTTTTTAATGCGTCAAAACTAATTAAATTGTCATTTAATTGTAGATGTTATAGAGAAGAATAATTGTCAATTTGTGTGAGATACACCATTGACTTGGATGTATATGAAAGATTTTTGTGTTTTATTGATGTTTCAAAAGGACAAACTTCCAACCATATTGTCACTGCACTGTTTGAATGTTTTGAAAAACAAAAACTGACTATGTCTAAAATCAAAATAATTGCACAATCATATGATGGCGCCAGTGTTATGTCTGGACACTTACGCGGTGTTCAATCAAGAATTAAAGAACACTATCCATACGCTATATACACTCACTGTATGGCACACCGCCTTAATTTAGTAGTTGTAGATACATGTAAGACAATAAAGGTAATATTAAAACAAATCAAAATCATAAAATCTATAGATTTGTAGATATTAATAAAAAATGTCTTATTATATTTTTCAGAATGCAAAAAATGTTTTTAATATGCTTGAAGCAATATACGTACACTTTTCGCAACCATCAAAAAATAAAAAATAATGTGAAATGCAAAGAAATTTAGGATTAAATAAAGGAAATGTATTAAGAATATGTGATACAAGATGGGTGTGCAGATATAAAAATTGTGTTGCAATGTTGAAAAATTATTCTAGCATTCTTAATATTCTCAATGATGAAATCGAAGGACAAGTAGATAAAGATGTAGCACGTGCATTAGGTATTATTATAAAACTTTAATTTAAATGTTTTTTTAAAATTATATATAGTAAATAAAATAATAATAATGTTCACTTTTCTGATTTGTAGGTATTTTAAGTTCTATTAATAAATTAGAATTTATAATAGTTCTTCACATATTGAATGAAGTGTTATCCATTATAAATGTTTTAAGCAATCAACTTCAATCTAAATCTGCTACCTTGGGAACATCAAGTAATATAATTCAAAGTGTAATTTCTACTTTTGAAAATCAGAGGAATGAAGATAGTTTTTTTAAGCTTTGGGAACAAATTATGGAATTCGCACAGTTAAACCAAATAACATTGGAATTATCAAACTCTGGTAAGAATTAATAATTTAAAAATGTGTCAAGAATAAGATATTTTTAACTTTAATACCTCAGTATTAATGTTTTTACTTTTATATCCTTAGGAACAAAATCTAAACGTAAACGCCAAGAGCCACATCACTTACAGAGCTATAATCTTGAGACCTTAACTGGACAACAAAGTGAGTCGGAATGTAGAACAATTGACAATGAGCATTGGAAAATCATTTATTTTCAAATAATTGATTCTGTTATTGTCAATTTAAAGTACCGTTTTTCAGATGAAAGTTTAGTTTTAGCTAACTCATTAGACAAATTTATGAAAATGAATTTTGAAAAAGGTTCATATTTCATTAATCATTACAAGGTTAGTTAATGTAATATAGATTAATTCTGTAAATAAAATAATCACGTGAGGGTGATATAATTTTTAGGATGTTGTAAATATTGATTTAATGTCATTAAAAGCTGAAATGTTGCTGACAAAAAATTGTATAGAAAATAGAAATTTGGATTTTGATATACAAGGAATAAAGAAAGTGGTGACTAAAGATGTTTTTCCAAATTTATTTAAACTTATTCAAGTAGGATTGACAATTCCTGTAAGCTCGGCTACTTGTGAAAGGTCTTTTTCGTCGATGCGTCGTATAAAGAATTGGCTTAGGACAAGTATGGGACAATCGAAATTTACCGATTTGTCAGTTATCAGTATTGAGAGAGATCTTAGCACTAAAATTGATAAAAATAAAATTATAAATAACTTTGGTTTGACTCCAAGACGTATATCTTTAATATAATAATTAAATAAAAATAAAAAATGTATTTACCTGTATTTATATAGGTACCTTGAATCTGTGTTTTATTTTCTTTAATATTATTTTTTTATAAATTATAGATTAATAAGTTAATGCGATGAATGTATAAATGGTGTTGTGGTAAGGCCGTAGGGGGTGTGGGGGGCAAAGCCCCCCACGAGTCACTTTGGTCAACTTAAATCTAGCACCCCCATAAATTTAACCCAAATTGCGCCTATGTATTTCTACTATAACATCTGAAAATAGTAACGTCTATTTGCCCTTCAATGAAGCAATAGTAAACGGCAGCTTGGCAATAGGTATTTACATTTACAGTTATTTATCTTTAATATTTTTTAGTGTTCATATTTTTTAATAATTTATTTAAAAAATTAATATAAATAATACATAGGAATAGGTCACACGCAACTCTCCGAATTATCTTCTTCGATTGAACTCCCATCTCTCTCTTCTACATCATACCTGCATAATCTATCTATTATAAGTAATTCAGTAAATGATGCTGCAATCGAAGAAATGATAAAAGCTGGCGAGAGACAATTAGCAATTCAAAATGGAAATGTAGACGAATATGGTGTACCTATGTGCACTGTTATAGCTGATGGCCAGTGGTCAAAAAGATCTAACAAAACAAAATATAACTCATTTTCTGGAGCAGTAAGAAACGTTTAAAATTTATAAAAAGATCAAAATAATTTAAATTGAAACATGAATTATTTTTCAGGCGACTATTATAGGATTTAACACTAAAAAAGTGCTATTTGTAGGAATACGAAATAGTTACTGTTCTGTTTGCCAGCGAGCTTTAAATAAAAAATGTGAGGTGCCTGTTCACGTTTGTTTTTTAAATTGGAAAAAGTCATCTACAGCTATGGAGGCAGATGGTATATTAGAAGGATTTTCTAATAGTTTAAATATGCACGGATTAAAACATAATAAACTTATTGGTAAGAAATAAAACATAAATATTAGATAAATAGAAACTTAAAAAATATTCGTAATTCGTAAGATCTGAAATATACAACGAATATTATAAATAATTATAATACTCGTAAGTTTCTATTATAATTTATAACATTTCCAATATTAGTAGTATAGTCATAACTTGAATGCATAATATAGTATTGATACTCTTTATCAGGTGATGGCGACAGCAGCGTCACAAAAAAATTAAATGAAGTTTTACCTTACGGACCCGATTTCAAAATTCAAAAAATTGAATGTAGGAACCATCTATTGCGTAACTACGGAATGAAATTGACGGCTCTTTCCAAAAAAACTGAGTATCCAGTTGTAATTCGTAAATTTATCACAACACATATTTTACGTTTTCGTACAGACATAACAAAGGCTATCCAACATCGATTGAATGAAAAAACCTCAATTCAACAAAAAATAACAGGTTAATATCTTATTATTTATGTATTGTATATTTTATTCATTTATACCTAATGCATTGGGCTATAATTTATCGGAATTAATTTTTGTTTAAAACAATTTTATCTACATATATATTGATTATATTTTAGATCTCAGAAAAGATATTATGAATAGTCCGTATCATCGTCTAGGACAACACAACAACTGTGCTCCGTACTTCTGCAAAGGAGCAAAAGTTGGAGAAACAAATTTTATACCTGAAGCTGAAACAACAAGTTTGATGTCCGATATACGAAATATCGTATACAGATTAGCTGCAAATACAGAGAGCTTGATCGAAAATACTGACAACAACCAATGCGAACAATTCAACAGCTTAATCAATAAGCACATCGGAGGAAAACGAATCAATTTTACGCAGGGAAATAATTATAAGACACGAGTAGAAGCTGCAGTTGTTGCGTTTAATTCTAAAAATTATAAACGCGCAGTCCAAAAAAAAATTATGTCTAGAAGTCCAGGTAAATAAAATAATCTAAATATTATAATTCATACCTATATCTATAATAAACAACTAAATTGCTAGTTTTATTTTAAATAGGAATGTTTAGTAAAAAATATGCAACAAATATTAATAGAATTCGGAAAAATACCATCATGAGGAGACGAAAACTTTTTGATAATGGTGTTGTTCGTATGAAACACAAATTTACATTCAGTGCACCTGATAAATATTACGGTTTAGCTGAGCCCCTAGATCAGCGTTTCTTAAACTTTTTTATCCGTGGAACCCTTTTTTATGTGCACTTTCACCGTGGACCCCTAACTTTTTTTAGCTTTTTTTTATTGAGCTCTTAACAATAAATTATTACAGCTCGACAATTAGAACCACTACATTGTTTCAATACTTTCAATGCGTCATTTTATGTAAGGAATATTTGCAANCCCCCCACGAGTCACTTTGGTCAACTTAAATCTAGCACCCCCATAAATTTAACCCAAATTGCGCCTATGCATTTTTTACTTAATGTATTTCAATTACAAATTATAAAAGTAAATTAAAAATATTATTTTATTAAACTTAATTAAAGATATTTGTTTAACTCACAAATACTAAATATAAACGAATATGGCCATCAGACGTGTAGCCTTTTTCTTTTTTTCAGGAGCTGATGAATTGTATGTAAGTAGGTGGTTTGCTTACAAACCTTTGCTGTTTATGGATGACAGGGATTTGCCAAGAAAAAGGTTGTGCACGGTATGTAAAATATATTATTTAAGCATATTGATTTTGCCATGGGAGAACTCCTTCATGTACGCAATAATCAGCTATTTCATCTCTTATCTGTTTACAGTCAGGGTTAGATCTTCGGGGGATATGTCTTAAGGGTAGCATGGACGTCATTTCTTCGTTAGCTCTCCATGATCCTTCAACTAAAACTCCGTTTTGATAATAGTCTAATGTACCTTGTGGTATGTAAAAAAATTAGGCGAATTGGTCCTTAGATAATTGTGTAATAAAATGACACACATAACAATCAACTTGGCTTTTTCGGGCTCCAAAAGCATTGGTTTTCTTAAAACCCGAAACACTGAACTTGCTATACCAAAGGCGTTTTCGACGACACGGCGAGCTCGACTTAAACGATAGTTGAACACTCTTTGGGGAGTTCCTTTAGCATAACTTCCAGAATACGGTTTCATAAGATTACCGTCAAGGGCACCAATGCAGTGAGGAAAATTCCATAGTGTTTCAAATGCCCTGCTTATCTCTTTCCAAGCTATAGAAGTGGTGGGAAGCTGAAAAATAAATTTGAGTTTATATTTAATAATACTTTGTAATTGCAATTAATACAATAATCTATAAAATCGTTTTGAAAGCAAAATTGTCATTTAATAAAAATATTTGATAATTATAGGAAATTTTGGACGAGGTCGAAGATAGGGTAGATATAGAAAATGAAAACGATGATTCTGCTACAACTCTCAACATCAATAAACGAATGAAGGTAAAAGGAAGTGAAGCCAGTACATCAATGATGAAAAATGCTTTTGAGATATTGAAAACCACTGCATCAAAATTAAACAAACAACCATCTCAACCAGACGAAGTATCTTCATTTTTTACGTATGTTTCATCAAAAGTACAAAAATACTCGATTCAAGCGCAGAAAGGGATTCAGCATGCCATGTTTGAGATATTGATGAAAGCTGATGAAGGATTTTACGATATCCAACATTCGTATAATCAGCCTGCTACAAATTTGCTGCAGTACAACGTACATCATCCTGAAATTAGACGCACTGAATTTATGTTGTCTCAACAACGAAACTATCAACCTCAAATGCCTTCAACATTTGGAAACTCACAACCGCCACAGTCATTCACACCAATCAACCATACGCAGCTAACATCTCCTGAATCACCAATGACTTCGACTTCGGGAAACTCACAACCCCTTCCCCCCAGTCATTCACACCAATTAACTATATACAGCAATCATCTCCTGAATCTTCAATGTCGTCGAGAAGTTTTGAAGATTTCATATAAAAATTGAAAAATATGTTAATTACAATTACAATTAATTATAAAGGTTTATAAAAAGTATAGTAATTTCATTTCATTTCAGTTTAATGTATTCTGTTGTATAATAATAAAGTTTAACATGTTCTAAGAATATAACATTTAGTTATTTGATTTATTACCTTGATGTACCTAATCATTTAATTCTTCAACAATAGCTGTACATACGTCTGGTACTATGAGTGAGATTGATTGTTTTGATATTCTGAAAACGTACTGAAGACTAGTATAAGAATCTCCTGTAGCAAGGTACCGTAATGTTACCGATAATCTGCAATAATAATACATGATTGTAATTATATTAACCCTATTATAAATATAATATATAAATGCATATATATAACATAAATAAGTCTACCTGTCTTGAGCCGAGATTGGAGAGCGGAAATATGTATCTTGCTTAGAAATTCGTGGTCCAATTTTTTGTAATAGATTCTCAAAATCAGTTGGTGACATTCTAGTAAAAATTTTGTACTGACCGCTTATTTGCTGTGACTTTAAATCCAATAATATCTCCATACCATTCCTTTTTTTGTACAAATCAGTCTGCCACCAACGTCGTTGTTTTCGCCTTTTTTTTTGACTTTTCTTCCAAATAGGCCATCAATATAGTCGCACTACTCATTACCAGCATCGCATAATCTTCGGAAGACATAGTTAGTAGTTACTAGTAGGCAAGTACGAACGATACTGCCGGTATTTCGGTAAGTTCGTTATTGGTTCGCCGTCGGTATTGGTTCGTGAGCGGATCGCAAGTGTGTACGTGAAATTAACGAACATGACACGAACACTTCGCGAGCGGTTCGTGATAGGTTCGGTTCGCACATGTATACGCGGCTTAAGAATAGTCAATATTATATAACTGAAAATATTAAAATAATATAATTATATACATAATTTTCAGTGTGTTTGGGTCGGCTGTTGGGCGGTGGCAAGTGTCGAATGGTAAGTTTCAATTGGACGATTTTTTAAATTTATTTAACATTGTATTTTTTTAAAAATTTTCAGAATGAATAAATGTTGCTGTATACATACTTTTGTGTAACTTTTATTATTTATTATTTCCTTGTTCCCAATTGTCTTATGAACTGTAACTGTACGTTTGTCAATTGACAATTGTGTGTGAGGTGTGTCATTAAATATTTTAGTAGTTGGTTAACAATAGTAATATATTATTATTAGTAGTA